CCCTGGTAATTAAGTCAAATACTGACTGGCTCTGACACTTACAGATATGTACTCCTCGATCTGCTGCCTTCCCCTCTCCACCGTAAAGTCCTTGCATGCGATCCACTGAATGTTTCCAATGACGTAATCAGCTTCTGAAAACAGACCACCCGCCGGTTAATCTAGCTGATGTGCCTGTGACAGGGCAAGGTTTCCTAGGCAGCAAATGCAGTATTTGAATACCTCTCTCTTTTTTTTGCAAAGCTTCAAGTTGCTCTTTCACGCCCCTGATGACAGTTTCGATTAAACTCTGTGCTTTCTCTCTGATGGCTTCATCTTCCTCTTCCATGTCCATGATCTGGAGCATTAGAAAGAGAAAGACTCAAACTCACTAAGAGCGGTCTTGTACACAAGACTGTGATAGATTTGGACTCGTTATAACCCTCATCCATCACAACAGACCTTCAGATGATCCAGAAAGTGGCTGCTATAATCGGCCAATCCCACACCATTCTTTGATCTCTTGTTTTCCGTACACAGCCAGGTCTAGTCCTAGAAACACCCCCCACCTTGCCACACACACACTCCCTGCCACCATTAGAAAGCCACTTATGTTCTCATATCTAACTGTTTTATTGCATTTGGGGAGAAGGGGAATCTGTCTTCTGCTGTAATATGCAAAGAGCAATTTGGAAGGTTTGGCTGGCAGGGAGGGAGGGCTGGGGCATTCCCAGCAAGTGGTGTCAGCTGTGCCATGTCTGTGTCAGGTCCCTGGCTGAAAGGGTGCCAGGGTCCTCATGCCTACCAGTCTCTCTCTTGCATAGCATCAGATATCAACTTCCACATCTATGAGCCACTGTCTCATATGACGGCTCCATGTCCGGATTCCGTCTGGGCATTTGTAAAGGTTGCAGCTTTCAATGAAGTGCTGTGCAGTTTGTTGGGCACCGCATTCACACAGGGGCTGTCCTACCTGTCTCAGTGCACTTGAGTTCTTTCCTCAGTGCTGGGAGCTGCTCTCTCCCTCAGGCTGCAGATTCCCAGGGCTGCTACCTCACAGAGTTCCCTAAAAGAGTGTTTGCACATAGCGGTCACCCAGGCAACAGTGACACCAGCCAATAGAAAAGTAGAGTCAATGTCCAAGCATTCCATTGTGTTTCAAAAAGGAAAGAACCAGAACAAAGTTTGCTCTGAGGTTGGCTTTTCGGTGCCTGCATCGTGGGCGTGCAGGTGTGCACTGTGACGTGTGGAAGCCCCACTCTTGCTCCCACTGAAGATGTTTGCAAAACTCCCACTGAGCTGGGGTAGGCCCTTGGCATGGAGGTCCTTGGAGTGAACAGACTTCCTCTAGAGCTACGCGGCACCAAGCACTCACCAAGCATCCCAAGCACCACCTTTCCTTGTAGAGGAGTCCCCCTAGGGAGGAGAGGGACAGCATTAGCAGGGAGACATGCTGCAGGATACAGCAGGCTTCTGTCGCTCCGAACTTCTGTACTTGTGCTTGAGTTGAGAGAGAGCATAGACACTTCAGTCCCCAAAGAAACAACATACTTGAATTTTCTTTACTCTTAACGCTCTACACTGAAATGATACCTCCTCCCCTGCGAGGTAACACAGAAGAAAAATGTAGTTACCTTGCGTCTGTCACTGACATAATGCCCAACAGGTAGCAAGGTTTTTTGATGCCCTGCATTTCCCTGGCCCCAAAAGCAGTAGCGGCCTTAGGGGAGAGCAAACCAGGTGACTGGCCAGGGCCCCACGCTTTAGGGGGCCCCAAAATTTTAAACCCAGAATGAACCTAGAATATAGCTCAACATTAACAAACCCTTTCTTTCTTCAACTTATTAAAAACTTTGTTCTTTCTTCAACTTATGAATACTGATTATCAACATAGGTGTAGGAGCAATGGATTGACCATTGACTCCAGTTTATTTTGGTGTGAAAATCTGCCCTCTGTTCATAATATCTCTCTCAATAAAATAGGTTTGTTTTGACTTACGTTCAGAGTGTTGTGTTGATTAAATGTATTAAGTAATATTCTCCACTCCAGTTGTAATAAAAATTAATTACACTGCATATTTGTATTGTCACTATTGTATTTAGATACTGTCATTGCAGTTTCATGGATAGGGCAAAGTACAATTGAAATCGAAAATGTCCAACTTGCTTATATGTTTTCAAAATTAAGCCCCAAGTGACTCTCTTGCCCAGGGCCCCAACAACCCTAAGGCCACCACTACCAAAGGCCTGGGAAAACCTGCATAGAATTAACATTTTCCTACCGCAGCAGATATTGCTGGTGTGTATGTGAATACTTGGGATGCAGCTCTTCAGATGGAGGTGTCATTGTCATCACAAAGGAAGTGCTAGAAGCAAAGAGAAAGCAGTGAGGCCCAAAACCAGAGTGTGAGCAGGCAGACGTGCAGGGAGACAGGAACTCAGGCACGGTTCTAGAAGCAAGTAGACAAAGCACATGGAAACAGAGACCATCCCCTGTGGTCTGAGAAAGAGACTGTTCCCTGGAGTCACGAGTAAGATGAATGCAGGACCCTGGGGAAGGCTCAGGTCTGAGAGACAAGAAAATTAAATCAAGGAGAGACACCAGAGGGCAGGCAATTAAACCCTGCTGTGTTTGCAGTATCACCTTCCCTGGAGCCTCACCTCCTGGCCCTCATTTCATTCATCTCAGCACTTGCTGTTCTCTGCACCAGGCTGCTGTGTTTAATGCTTTGCCAAGATGCTTGTTTGTCTGTGTGGATGAGCTGGGAGTGGAGCAGCCACAACCAGTGCTCTTCATTAGGAAATTACATTTGAGAGTCCTGGTAAGGGGCAGAAACCGATCGCTCCTCGCAGACAGGCAATTCCACATGTCTTGTGCTAAATTAACCTAAGTTTGTAGCAGAAGTGGGACCTCTAATTTCTACCTGTGGTAGCAACAGCAGTAGCTGTAGTGAAGACAGGGACCAATGGACTTGGGTTTTGCCCTCCTACCTTCTATGACCCTGCTAAGAGTTACCTAGAATGAAGACCCAACCAGGTGAGCCTGATTTCCCAAAGCCTGATGCTGAGGCATCGTTCTGGAGGTGGTGGCCAGCACTCGCCAGCTGGCTCCCAGCCAGTAAATCTCAAGTACACAATAATAATGGTAGTGGTGCAGGGAAGAGAATTTCAGCCCCCTCCAAACATTGATCAGGTGGAGCGGCTAGAACAGGGGGGTCCTCACTGAAGGAGGAAAGGATCCGGAAACATGTGAACAAGCAACGTGGAAGCAGGCACAAACAGAGCCATACACCAGGGGCTGGGTCAGCACACGCTGTAAAATGCCTCGAGTGCTCAGGGGTGGACCACATAGGTCCCAAAGAGAGGGACAGGACTGGGAAGAGCCTGCCAGGCAGCTGCCACAAGACAAGCCTTGTCCTTCCCGGTGTCTAGTATATCCCTGGCAGTCACCAGACATTTTTTTTGTTTTTTTTTAATCAATTTATTAGAAAACAGACCATAGCAGACAGTCTAGAAATGACCCCAACAGAGGCCTCACAGAAGGTAGTACAACATAACATTTCAAAGAATGACATAATACACACATGGTAATTGATATCCTATTGCCCTTCACTTCGACTATACACGGTATATACAAACATCCCTTAGTATTATCTATCAAGCACATATTACACTTGTTTCATACATGGATATTGTGTCAGTCATCATGTACTTGACAGAAAACCAACGCATGCAATACAGGTCCCCTCAATGCAATACAGGTCCCCAATCCCATATACAAGCCCTCGCCCGCCCTTTCTGCCAACAAGTGCTGACCCTTAGCTTAGCCTATACCTATGCTGGGCTGAAACAACCCCCTGAAGTCCAGCCCTTGCCAGAACTTTTCATCCCCTTCTTCTGGCTTATTCCTTTCTCTGCCTCTATAGAAGTGCAGCTCGTGCATTGCTAACTGCAGACACTCCGTCGTGGAAAAGCACGACCTGGCAGTCACCAGACAGGGGTGACAGGACATTTCTCCCACCTGGTAGTCAATGCAGGCTCCACGGGTGAGGGAAAATGAGCCTCTGTTTTCTGCAGTAACAGGCCCTGTTAGGGTGAAAGGCTTGTGCCAAGCCTGCCAGTAAGAAGAGCCCCACTAGGTGCGCATGCACAAGACGCTAAGTCGCTAAAGCAAGTACTAAATGACCGCGCAGTGTAGATGCGCCCAGATCGGAGAGGGACCAGCTGTACCTGCTGACCTGCTTGGCACCGTAAAGCCAGGCCTCAGGATGTGAGCCCAGCTCTGCACCACTGGGAGCCAAGCTTTTTGGCACAAAATAGCCCTTCACCCCCTGAGTGCTACTCTGTTCCCCTTCCCCTACTTGATCTGCTGCTCTGCTTTCTGCTCCCTGCTCTGTACTCCCTGCCCATCTCCCTGTCTCCTTCCCTCCCGCCCACAGTGGCTGCCAGTGCCGGTTGTGGAACAAGTGTCGCAGGCTGGCCAGCCCTGCTCTACCGTCTGCCGTTACTCCCTAGTCTCTTACCTCCTGGCTCCTCTCTTCTTTCCTGCCCTGCCTTGCTCTGCCCCCCGGCTCCAAGCTGTACTGCTGGGACTTCAGCTCCTTCTGGGGTCCCTGTATTTATCTTGCCCTCTACACCTGTCCCATTCTCTGATTCCTGCCCCAGCCTTTGGATTACTGGCTCCCAACCCCTCGGAAAGATATCCCACATCCTGGCTGCCACTTAGACTAGAGAGACTAGTGCCCAGGGAAGTGCAGACAGGCTGGATTAATGCCTATGCTAATTATACCATGGCATCAAGCCACATCTCTGACTCTAACAGCCCACTGTTTCATGAAGCAGAGCAGGGTCCTGGAAAAGACCGTCCCCTCCCACTTCTCGACAAGGAGGAAGGGAGTGCTGCTGGAGGCACTGAGTACATTAGGTGCTTCACCGTCCAGGTTAGTGTTTGGCCCTCGGGGTCTTTCATTTGGGTTAATAGCTAGAAACCATTGACCCCAGCTCCTATTTGTTGGGCATGTGCACAAAAAACATTCAAAGCCAAGGACAGAAAATTAATCAGGTTGAACACTTGGACTCTCTCCTGATGAAGGATGCTGGGGCAGGAATCGGGGCGAATGGGGTCTTTGTAAACACTTGGGAGGCAGACACTAGCCTACGTGGGATTGTCCCTCTCGGGGTAAAACACCCATGGCACCAATATCCTGGGTGCAAATCAATCCCCCCTGGGGAGACGCTCCTTTCTGTTCTTTCTCACAATCCCAGTGGGTCCCTGGGCCCCAAACAGCTGTCACCGACTTTCTGGAGGATTAAGGCCCTGTCTTGCCTTTTACTGTGTAGTTCAGCTGGGATGTGCTGGACCAGCCCTGGGGGACTTGGATTCCTGACCTTGTGTTCCCTGTGCCCCACTCCTCTTAGTTTTCTACCCTTGATCCTCATGCTCCTTTTCTTCCACCCTGTTCCCTCACTGATAGGTCTCCTGTCTCCCTTGCCCTGCAGCGGTGTAGCTGACCAGCTTATGATAGGAGATTCAGATGTGGTCTTTAATTGATTCCCAAGCTATTTCAGTCCTTTCAAAGGCTGGCAGAGGCAGGAGGCATGAGGAGTTTATCACGGTCTCGCACCAAAGCCAACAAAATGAAAAGAGCATGTCATCTGCATAAGCCGCCCAAATAGCTATCGTATCAGGCTGCGTCCGTATGGTGGGGACTCAGTGTGCCCTCAGAGAAATGCTACAGCTCGCAGTGTGCAATAGCCCAGATTATGTATTAAGGCCTGGAGCAGAAATAGGCCCTGTCTGCACACGGGCTCGGGGGTCCAGCTAGGCACGAGGAAAATCAGATGTAAATCTTGGATCTCATTAGGGTCAATATTTGTCAGCTTAAATCCAAGAGAGCTCCATCTACCTCAGTACATCTGCTTCGACTACAAGATGGTGTTTTTCAGACTACCAACATGAACCCGAATGCTGAGGTGGCCGCACTACAGAGACAGCCATACAAGAGGAAGGAGTGGTTACACCGTCTGAGGACCAGGCTGTTTCCCTATCAAGCATGTCTTAAGCATTAAGGACCTGACTTTCAGAGGCGCTGAGCACCTTTGGGTCCCATTTACTTCAGTGGGGCCTGGGGTTACTGAGCATTTCAGGGCTTTCCCACGGTGAGGAGTGTGTCTAGGTGTCAGGAAGAGCCTGATCCCCAGGGGGGTGAGTGGAGACTCCCGGCTGACTCACACCAGGGTGAGCAAAGCAGATCAAGGCCTCACTTATCTCGGTGGATTCTTTTTGGGCTCTCGGTTTTGCAACGTTGTTGCTCCACAAACACCCAGAACTCTTTTCCTCTTTCCTTACTTCATGGCTTCCTCTTGCACCACACTCCCTTTCCTCCCAGCAACTCTTTCATCTTCCTGCATGCTCTCCTCCTCTAGCCAAATGACAGGTGCTGCAAATTGCTCAGCGGGAAGGTGAACAAATGCCTGCTTGTTTTTTTCTGGCTACAGAGAAGACCTGACCGGCCTTGGCATTTCCCGTACAGGCCATTTGAAAGGAAAGTCAAAGCGCTCTTTAATTTCTCTGCTGATAACATTCAGGGATTCCACATACAGAACCAGACACTCCCACCTCCTCCTATCTGCTTTTCACCAGAGCACTTGCATTTTTTCTAATGACAAGTGCCAGGAAAGCAAATTTGGTCGGTAAGTGAGTCTGGCCAGTGCACGAGAACTCAACAGACACTGCTGCCTCTAAATGGGCAGATTGTAATCAGTTCATTTGCACTTAGATGTAGGCCATTTGACTCGATATTATGAAAAGAATATTAACCCTGATTGTCTCTAGAATGTGAATTTGCTCTGGTGTCATGTATCCATGACAGAGTAACATGACAAAGACGCAGAAGTCTTGGCAGGGAGAATAGGTGTCTCAGGGGGGTTAGAAATGAAGATACATGGTCTTTCATCTCTAGAACATAGATCTGAAAGCAGGGTAGGTCTGCACTTTGTAGCCTAACGTGTGCGTGTATGTGTGTGCATGTGTAATACAATTTTGTGGACTGAAACTCACTTCAGACGCTGATAAAGATCGGAATACAGCCCAGGCTAAGAGTGACTGAGAATTATTTCCATCTTATAACTGCTTCAGTGGCCATTTATAGGAAAGCTACCGGATGAGTTAGGAGAGCAAAGCCAGAACACATGAAAGAGTGAGAGGCTGGGAAACAAAAGCAGCAAAGGCGGCATGGGTCCTCTTCTAGAGAGGAACTTGAGCTAAGGTTTGAATTTATTTTCAAACCCAGCAGCAGTGCTGCTGAGGGAACTCCTCACCTTCCCCAACCAATGCTCAGGAGAGAACGTCCAATAGTGTGAAGTTTGGATTAGATCAGGGGCAGGCAATTATTTTGAGTGGAGGGCCACTTACTGAGTTTTGGCAAGCTATCAAGGGCTGCATGCCCCCCAACCAGGGGCAGATAAATATTAATTTTCTAAATTTTTTAGGGGCCCCAGGGGCTGGATAGAATGGTCTGGTGGGCCACATTTTGCCCACCCCTGGATTAGATCCTAGCTTTCTGGGGAGGTTAGGTCTTACAGGTTTGAGTCAGTTCCACTTATTAAGAAGGAACAAATTCTTTGTCACCAGTGCTTTACAAAACCCTTAAAAAGCAGGGGCTGAGTTCTACCTTTGGGCCCTGCCCCGACCTCCCCAGAATCTGACTCGGGGAAACTGCTCCAACAGAGCAAAGCTTGGAGACCTTTCTGTGAAGAGGTGGGGCAAGACATGTGCCTTAAAGCAGGCAGTGAAAGCAAATGACTTTAAGTTATCCCAAAAGATCCCTTCTTCAGATTCCTAATAGCTAGAAACCACTGACCCCAGCCCGTGTTTATTAGGCATGTGCGTGAAGAACATTCAGAGCCGAGGACAGAAAATGAATCGGTCATGGGTAAGTGACTCAGCAGAGCCGTCCTCCTCTTTCCCCTGCCTTAAGTGTTTCTACTCTCAGAGGATTCAGTTTTGTGTGAAAGGAGAGAGGCAACCCCTCTCAGCCATGGCTCACTGGACTCCTTCGCTTCTCGGCGCTCTCATCTTTTGGACCACAGCTTTTCCCTGTGTTGCATTTCCAACAGGAGCCCCAGCATCAGCCTGCAAGACAATGAAGCCTATTCACATGGGCGTCCACTCCCAGCCACATCCTGCCCCCTATGAGTTGCTGGTGTGGGCACACTCCTTCACCAACGGATGGCCGATTACTGGTAATGTGGTTCAGACTTCTTAGCTGGATTTGTGAAGTGCCTTATGATCAGTGACTTGGTTGTAGTTCCCTGCCTTTTACATGCTGCTTTATGTCACAGGACAAGGGGACTTTTATTAGCCTCCCTCCCATTCAGTTTTCTCCCTGAATTAGAGAATTTCTATTTGTTGAATGCTTTTGAGAACATAGTAAAACAGGCGACAAGCAGCAAACTTGAGAATGATGTGTGGGGGAAAGCCTCACAAAGCAAGCTTGAAGAAAAGGAAAGCGTCTCTGGATTGCAAACCAAGTGAGCCACCATGTAACAGCCAGTTTCAGCATGCGCAGGCCTCATTCTGCTATTGCCGTGTTGACAATCTAGTGAAAAAATCTGGTGAATCGGTGATGTCTAGAGGAGAGCCTCTTGTAGGATTAGGTCCATATACAAATCAGAAGGGACCTTTAACAGGTACCGGGCAGCTCAGGAATCAAACACTGATGCAGGGTTGTCACCTCTTGGCAGAGCTGTACAAGCGAGCAGTAATCGGAAGCTGTTAATGCCTGCTGGTTCTCTGTGAAAAGGCTGGTGGCTGGGTGAGGACCGGAGGCAATGGAAATCAGTGGCAGGACTGGGAGTGGAAGCCAGGGGTCCTGACTCTGAAGACATCTGCCCCATACTCATCCTGCAAGTCTATGTGGAGTTGCTTGTCTAGGGTACTGCAGAGCATATGCTTGCTTTCCCTCCTGCCTCAGTCTCTCATCTCTTTCTTCACAACCAGCATTCTCTCTCTGACTCCCTCTGCCCCCCACAACAGTCCTGCTGCATCCCACCTGCACTTTTCATACCAGTCCCTTCCCTCCAGGTCTCTTGCAACACTTGGTCTTGTCTCCTCAGAGCAATGCTTCCCACAGGGCATGGAATTTAAGGCAGGAAAGGAGAGAAAGTCTTGGCTAGCTGCTCAGAAGCCGCAGGACTAGCACCCAGTGGAGAACCAGCTGAGAACCCTTTCCCTGCTTATAACCCACCTACTGTTACACCTAGGCAGAGTTGTCTCTGCAGTCTGGTTACACTTAAATTAAATAGTTCTCTCCAAGGGATTTTAAGGGCTCCTGTTACCACTGTAAAGAAACCAATACAGTATCTGCAGTCTGCCTGTGAGCTAGGGAAGTGATATCATCCCCTCTTGCAGAATGGGAAGATGAGACACAGGGAGATGAAGTGACATGCCCAGAGCCATACAGGACATCAGTTGCAAAGTAGGGATTCAACAAGGGGCTCCAAAGTCCCAAACCAACACCAGCACCTCAGGGCTATGTTTGCAGACAGAGCTGGTGTATTTAAGTGGGGGCTCAAAACTAATTAACACTGGAGAAAGCAGCATCCCTCTGAACAACTAACATGCAGCAGATGTTTCCTGTCCCCAGTGCAGGTTTTGGGGCCGGAGTACCGAGGCCTGCTGTTGGAGGCTCGCATGTTTGGCTCCACTGCTGCACTTGGCACTTGGCAGAGCCCCCCTAATAATACCCGGTTCTTACAGGTGAGCTAGGAGCATCTCCTCCACCAGGGTGGTTTGTGGAATAAAATCTAGAGAAGGAATCAGTCTATAAAGGCAAAGACAGCTGGGAGGCCAGAGACCACAGAGCTAGACTTGGAGCTCAGCTGTGTGGGATGGTCTGGATGGAGCCACACTCCACAGCAAGCGGCCTGCTCTGCCTGCAAAGGCAGAAGAATCCACACAGCTGTAGGACAACCTGAGTAACTCTCCCCTCTCCTGCAGCTGAGTATAAGCAGCCATGACTGGGAGGACTGCCAAGGGTATGCCCTCTCCATTGCTAGGTGGCATTGATGGGGCTGGGTGTCCTGGCTTCAAACTGCTTGCTGTCCTGTAGCAGACTACAGGAATAGCACTTGGCCACTAAGGACACTATCGCATGGCTCAGTGATTATGCTGACTGGGTGCATCTACACATGTCCCTCTGGTGCCTTTCTTACTGCATTGTCATTTAGTACTTCCTTTTGGAAGTGCTAAATGATGGTGCAGTAACAGCCCGTACTGCGCCGTGCATGCGGCACAAGGTTATTTTTACCTGCTATGTCACCATAGCAACACTCTATAAGGCAGTGTGTTGCTACGGCTATGTACCTGTGGTGTCACGGTTCTTGCCCGCAGGTGCTATGTAGCCATAGTGTGTTGCTACAGTGATGTAGCATCACACATAGGCTCACCCACTGTGAGCTGAAATCACAATGGTCTCTACACCTGTATACCTGTGGAGTGTGGTTGCCCTCTGATCTCCCCAGTGTCAGCGTGCTGGGATGAAGGGATCCCCATTTACACAGCTTGAGCATAGTGAGAGCAGTTAGATCTGTCAGGATATGTTGTGTTGCAGGTCTGTTTCCTGGGCTTCTGTGAGGGCAGGGGAGGTTATGGATAATGGCCCAAACTCAGATTTTTCACATGCAAACTGTCAGAGCAGCTAAATTGTGGGACAGGGTTTTCTCTGCATGGTGTAAACAATGCACTGATAGATTTCCCTTTCTTGGCAGTGCTCTGGGAACCCACAAGGAGCAGTCACTCATTCTAACATGGAATTAAAAACAAGCCTGGCCACATACACTTGGCTGCCCCCGAGCTCAGGCTGCCCTCCATTCATTGCATTCATGTAAGTGGATTTTCTGTTATTCCCCCACCTGCAGAGTCCCCTCCTCTCCAAGCAAGCAGCTCAAGCATATATTTTTCCCCTTTCTGTATCTGTACAGTACCAACATCTCCACCTTTTATGACCACATTAAAGTAGGATTTTCAAAAGCACCTAAGTGATTCCAGGGGACAAGTTCCATTGATTTCCAGGGGCTTCTGCACCCAGTCATTTAGGTGCTTTTGAAAATTCCACCTATGACACATGAGAGGAACAATTAGCAATGGGGTCCCCAGAAAAGCAACAGCTGTACATGACTAAGACTGATTAATTCCCTGAGAGTTACAAGAGACTGAAGTAAAAGAACCTGCTATACTGCCAAAGGAAACAGCAAAAGATTCTGGAAAAAAATTGTATCCTGACCTCTTCTGGGGAAAGAAAAATCTTCAGCTATCAGACTGACACAGCTCCTTTCTGTATGTGTGCAATGGAGTGGATTTACTTCCCTATGAGGTTAGGCATATGCTACTACCTGCTAATGAATTTATGATGAAACACAGGCTGCTACGCAGAGCATCTCCAATAACTATAGGAATATTTTTGTAAAGCTGGGAAGGGGTCTTTCCCATTTGTAGTCATTGCTTTATGCTTTTTCCTTTTGAACAGAGCAACTGTGGCACACTCTCGTGAAACCTATTGGCTCAATATCAAATCCAAAATACTATGGAGAGGTGAGTAATTACTGAACGTGTCATTACAACGTAAGGCAAATGTCCATTACCACAAAAAGGAGTTATATAGGCATTAAGCAGCACTGGTGTATCAGAAATATAGGGGATACTAGTATTCTATGTGCATGTCTTCTTTGAAATTGTTTTAATCATTCCCTCCCCTTCATTACCTCATAGTCAAGCTGTATGTATTTAGCTCTTTTTATTCCTCTTCCTGACCTATATACTTCTTCCCCCAATATCCTTCCAGTTGTATTAGCATGATATCCAGACCTCTGCGTAACATTCCAGGTATCCTACGAGGGCATGATCCACTTGTTATTGATTTGCCACTGAGCAAATGTGAATTTTGCAGACAAAAAACAAACAGATTAGTTACCACATTAAGAGGCAACTCTCCAGCTCCAAGTGATAGGGATTGAAAAGGAATTTTTTGCATTAACTCCCACTGATGTTATATACCACAGGTATATCCCCAACTCAACAGAACAGCAGCCCCTACTTTTGTTTCTGGCTAGTCAGAAAACGTTCATAACCATGCTGAAGGCTAAATGATGCATTTTAATCTCTTGGCAATGTTGTTCTAGGACAGAGGTTCCCAAACTTTTTCTTACTGTGTACCCCTTTCCAGATTTATCAGCTGCCCGTGTACCCCCACCAGCATGTTTTATATTTTAACACCTTAAAATGCCAGTTATTATTACAATTAAAATTAAAACCGCCATTACCCTCCCCCAAGATGTCTTGCATACCCCCATGGGTATGTGTACCACAGCTTGTGAACCCCTGATCTAGGACAAGTCACACAAACTTTCTGCGGTTTCACCTGTGTCCTAGGTGCCCATACCTGCATCACCATTCTTTGCAAAAAATATCTTGTGAATGCAAAGGATCATTCAAAGTTCATTGTGTTCTGTCCACTGCTTACTTTCTTTGCCAGACGAAGTGCAGGGATTACTTGACTGAGAAGCAACTCAGGATTAACAGGAAAAGAAAAAACTTCCCCAAAGGTTCATATTAATTGCTTTGCCATGGTCTCCTCAATGATATATCCAAAACTAGTTATAAATTGAAATTAATTTTAATTTCTTCTCCAACGTACAGATCCTACAGCAACATGTGGCACTGAGAAGTTTACATGGACAGCTACCACTGTGATAGTGTTACTTTTCCACCTGCTGCTTTTGCTTAGCTGCATTTAGTAACCCGTGAAAATTAAGAGTATATCTACAACAGTTAAGGACTGTCACTGTTATTGGTAGCTAATTTTAATTGCATCTATAATAAATACAATTTTTAAGGCCTCAGCTACATGTAAAAGTTGTACCACAGCTCTAGAATCTCCTGCTGTGGACTTGTTTAACTTTCTCCATGTTCTCCCTAGGAACAGCATAGTGCTATGTGAAAGAATGTTATATCAGCATAACTGCATCCACACTAGGTGCTGTACCAGTATAACTGTGTTGGTTAAACCCACCACCAAAATAATTATAACAATAAATAACCAGCGTGTAAACTAGATCTATGATTAAGGTTGAGTGGTAAAAAGCCCTAGTGAAAATTTCCAAGCATCCAGGAATCAGGCTTGCTAAGACAAAATCAATAGAGTGATTTTTAACTTCATTCTAACCGAGAATAATAAATGTTACAAGATCACCACTTTCTGTCTGTGAGCAGAATGTGTGTGTCTGAGCAGATGAATGCTAAGAGTATCACTACACTGCTGTATGCTTTTTTGTTTAAAATAAGGGGGTGGATACAAGACATGTTAGAGATGTAATGCAAAAAGATACCTGTTGCAATAAGACAAATAAACATCAGTTGTATTGCCTAGATCGGGGTCACCAACCCCTGGCGCATGTGCCAGAGCATGGTATGCGAGGCCATTTTGTTGGGCATACCACAGCCAGCCCAGGCTCTGTGCAGCTGCAGCTGACCATGGAGCCTGGGCTGCTTGCAGCCAGGAGGCTGTGAACAGCTGCACTGGGCTCTGGAGCCCTGGGCAGCCTCTGTGGCGGGTGCACACACACCTCAAGGTAGATAGTGGGGGAGGGGCCTGGGGCAGCACAATCCTGGCCCTTCCACCACTAGGGATGGTGCCCTGCAACCCAGTGCAGTTGTCTGTAGCCTGCCCACCAGCTGCTGCAGCTGCCTTGAGCCTAGAGCTCTGCCACTCGCCTGGAGGCGCATGTACACCAGCCACTGCCATGTAGCCCAATGCAGCTGGTTGCAGCCCTTCTCCGGCCTGGACTCTGGGCAGCTGCAGTAGGCAGCGGGCAGTTTGCAAACAGCCATGCTGTGCTCCTGAGCACCGGCACTGGCTCCATGCTGATGGCAACTGCATACATACCTAGGGGCACAGGGTGGGGAAGGGGCCAGGGCATTGTAACCTTGGCCCCTCCTCTGCTGTCTGCCTGAAGGTACACACACAGCTACCGCCAGCAATAAGGATTGGGCCCCTCGTGGCTCCCCCATAGTCTGCCCCTGGCACGCCACTCAAGGCACGGGTCTGGGGTGGGGTGTTTTTGGCATTGTGGCCAAAGACGCTGCTGCCCCCTGACCTAGACTGTGCTATACTCCCACTTTTGTTCCTCAGTTTTGTGCAGGCTAGTAATACATTCACATTAGTAAGTAAGCTTATACTCCAGAATTTCTCAGAGGTGTAATCATTTCATTTATTCAACTAAAACAAGCAATGCCTTCACTGCTGCAGGATGCATTCACTCCAACTTCTCCTGTTCAATATGGAGGACCTACAATTGCTTAGATTGTACTTGGTGATGAATGTACAAATCAGAAGCCGATATCTGTAACAAGTCAAAAGTCTTGGCTTTTATCAGCATTACAGCATCAACAAAGCTTGTTTTTGGGAGTTTTTTTTTCAGTTAACATTGGTTTAATAGCCTGTTAAAAGTGTGGCAAAAAATAATTAGTTAGTGTATGCCTATATCTCTTCCTTAGCAATCTTATCCTCCACTAACGTGTGGCAAACATGTCATAGATTCATAGATAAGGCTGGAAGGGACCTCAGAAGATTATGGGGTCCAGCCCCCTGCACCAAGCAGGAGAGACAACGGGGTGAGGTGACCCCAGCAAGGTGACGGTCTCAGTCTTCTCTTGAAAGAGGAGTCAGCTAAAACAACATGTACAACACGAACTCCCTAGTCTTCCGCAAGACCTCGCGCACCTACTCTGCAAGGCTTATGAACCGACGTGATATTCCCACTGCCTCTCTTGAAAACATCACGGCCACAAGCGCAAAGACCGATCCCCGCCCACAGGTCTGCGTACAACATATAAAACACACCGCCTCACGTAGACATGTGTATTTATTAGAACGATAGTTCTTTTTACGGTTCTTGTCAAGAAGCTCACTTCTTAGTCGATGTTCTCCAAGCCCTGCAACACAGAAGAAAATAAGTGAAGTCTCTGATGGCACATCCTCCCCCCACCCCCCGGGAGCAGTTTTGCAGGGGTGACAGGGAGCACTTGCCTTGCTGCGGTGGTACATGTTCACGCCCGACACGAAGCGGTCCCGCTCCATCAGCGTCCAGTGGAAGGGGACCCGCGCCGCCCGCTTCTCCTGCGCACGCAGAGGGCAGGGGTGAGGCGCGCCGCCCGCCCAGG